AGGGAGAAGCAGACTCCCTGCCGAGCAGGGAGCCCGATGCGGGACTCGATCCCGGGACTCCAGGATCATGACCTGAGCCGAAGGCAGTCGCCCAACCGACTGAGCCACCCAGGCGCCCCGCAACGTTTTTCAATCTTGGGATATCAGTGGCAGTTCCTTGGCAAACAAGGTATTTTAATAGACAAGGAATGCAGTGGCTGACAAGAATATTGGCCCATAATAATAAGCTGAAGAAAGAAGGACAGGTCTGGAGGCCATGTGGGTTTGGGACCCTGAGGGTGCTGTGGCTTCAGAAAGTTCCCTTGAACACTTTCTTGAGTGGACATTTTTCAGACGTTCATTTGTCTGAAATGACTTGGAGGTCTTGTGAAGTTACAGACTCTGGTTTCTCTAAGTCTGGGTGGGGCCTGAGAGTCTATATTGCTAATAAGCTCCCAGATGGTGCTGATGCTGGTTTGTGAGCTACATTTTGAACAAAAAATGGCTAGTACATTCCAACAAAAAAAAATTACTGTGAACAAAAGAGTCAACTCTATTCGTGTATGTTTTCACAACTGTTAACTCCTGATTTGTTCAATTTCACTCTGTACAATTAAATCTGATGAAAACAAGTAAGAATGGGATTATTATTTTTGTGAGTACAGAGTCCCCTTGACTTGCCAGATAGCTTCCAATAAAGATAACATTTTCTCTGCTCGAAAAGAGGGTGTTGTAAAGCAATGGCATAAAGGAATACGGAACCACATTTCAACTCTCGGCCACAACATCTTTGATACTTGTTTTGAATAAATACCTTAAGTTATAGCTGCTATCCTGTATAGAAATACACTTCCTTTCAACACCAGCATTGCTAAATGTCTGTCCACCCGGCACAACATTATTTCAATTGTCCTGCACCACGGTTTTGGAAATATAGCCCCATTTTAGAAAATAGGAATTTTAAGAGTTTGCTTCAGAAAAAGCATTTTAAAGAGGAACCTCCTCAAATGTGGAAATGTTTGCTTAGGCGCCAGATCAAAGGAAAAAAAAATGGATTTTGTATGTCTGTATAGTTTTTTAGAATGAATCCACACATTTTCATTTTCACAGTGACCTTTGCATTTGAAGGGAGCTCAGATGTGGACACAGCTCACAGAGTTAAACCGGGGGTGACCACTGCCATCAGACGTTGCTCTGTTGTAACAAAAGAGTTCTCAGTTCCCTTTCCCTCTGATCCTCCTGCCTGTACTTCTCCTCAAGTTTCTGCTTCTCAGAATCTGCACAGTAAAAGGTGCAATCTGGGCTCTTTCGGATCTGTTCAAACTGACTGAAATCAGCCACATATTTTCCATTTTTTGAGAGAGAAACCACAGGTACAAACTCAAAGCCCCAGTAGATCTCCTCTGGAATATAAGATGTGCGGCTCTGGCAGACAGCACTGGTGGATTCCACGGTGGCATTGAGGAGGACCACGAGTTCAAACTCCTTCTCCTTCAGGTTTTGGGGTGTGAGATCTCTCAGGGGGCTCGTCTCATCCAGTACGTGGTAGAATGTCATGGGCAAAATGAGGAAGGGGCTCTCCGAAGAGGAGTCCACGTGGAATTTGACGGTGGCTTGGTTGAGCAGAATCTGCTCCCCCTCTTTAGTGACATGGCTCTGGAGGAGTTTACCAGAGAGCTGGCACTGAATCAGGAGGCTCTTCCTCATGTTGGCCACCTGAATCACCAAGCACAACTTCCCGTTCTGCTTGGTGATGACCGCGCAGTGGCTGAACTTGATGGTCTCTGCCCGCTTTTTGGGTCTGGCAATCTTGGCCAGAAAGGTGCCCGTGATGAAGATCTCAATCAAGGTTGTGATGACCAACTGAGCAACCAAGAGGAAAATGGCATGAGGGCATTCCTCCGTGATGGAACGGACTCCATAGCCAATGGTTGTCTGGGATTCCAGGGAAAAGAGAAATGCTCCAGTGAGAGAGTCCACTTTCATGATGCAGGGAGTGTGATTCGAAACATCCTCCCTTGGTTCTAAATCCCCATGAATAAATGCAATGGCATAGTAGATCACTCCAAAAAGGAACCAGGTCATCACAAATGTGGCTGCAAACAGGGTAAGCTTGTATCTCCACTTCATGTCAATGACGGTCGTCCACAAGTCTTGAAGGTAGAGCAAGTATATGCCATCCACTTTGTCAATTCTCACGTTGCTGTGCCCACTCTTGGACATGACTCGGGGTCTGTTGGTCTTGGGTCCAGCTCCTGCAGTGTGCTTCACCCCGGGACCACTGGACATGCTGATGTGAATGGCGTCCATTGTCAGGCTGTTGAAACCACCTAAGGAAATGGCAAAGAAAGACATTCCATTACTGTCACATGTAGTAGAACATCCAGAAAACAGAAATAGGATAACCATGTGAAATATGTAGGAATGCATATAGACGTATATCAGAAAGGAGAATTTGGAAGGCAAGACTAGTCTACTAGTCTGAAGAAGACAGTAGGGTGGAGTGAGGAGCATGGACTCTGGAGACAAGCAAACCTGGGCTAAATGCCAACTCTCCAATTTATTTGCTGTGTGACCTGGGGCAAACTATTTAACTTCTCTGGATCTCAGCTCCCTAATCTATAAAATGGGAATACAACTTACTCCTCAGGTTTTTGTGATGGTTAAATGAGATAATAGCTAGAAAGTGCCAAAACAAAGCCTTATGCTCAAAAAATGAGGCCAATCTTCTCACGAAATCACATTCACATGCATCTACCCCACTGAGTATTATGAATATTTATGTATAGTCAACTAGCACAGATTTCCAATTCTAGAAAATTTAAACATAATTTGACTGAGCATAGGGTCAGTACTGATATAACTAAAATGTACCAACTATAAGGTAGTTTTGATACAGCAATAGGTAATATTAATACATATCTTAAAAACTTCGGTAATATTAATAAAACTTTTAAAAACTTACCCTTTTGTGTGGCGTTCTCTGCAACAGAATTCATTCTCCCCCCAATCCAATGAATAATTTAGAATCCATGACCTCTCTTAGTTCTTGATGACATTGGAAAGGACTAACTTATCAACCAACGAACAACAAACACATAGTGAATAATTACGCTTTATTAGTAGTTGGTTGATATGCTGCTTATCAAAATGTCATATTAGGTATGACATTTAGGTATGTCACAAAATTTCTGCTTTACTCCTTTAGAACTGACTAGAACCAACATGGGAATCTCTTGAAAAAAGCTAAAAACAAGTAGGTAGGTATAGGCATCCGACACTGTGGCAGAACAGACCCACTTAGAAGCTGGACTTCCATGCTAGGTCCCAGGGGACATTCCCCTCTGCATCAACAGACAGGAACAAGCTGGGTGTGAGGCCATACAGCATCTTATACTACCTGCCTGGTGACTGAAATCAGTCACCCTACATTCCTTGAAAAAGATAATGTGAGTGATTACAGGGTAACTCTACCTGGTTCGCATGTTTTTTTGTTTTTTTGTTTTTCCACCTCATTGGTATTTTAAGGATAAAGGAAAAATCCCTTCTTTCAAAAGGAACTGGATACAGTGGTCTGTGATTCATGCAATAACCTTTGCTGTTAGAGCAGCATTATCTCAATAGAAGTTTTGGAAGCAATCTTCTGGGCAAACCTTTTCAAGGAAACTGAAACCATCCATCAGAGGCTAACACCTGTTGAGGATGCAGGGAGTTGTTGTGCTTTTTAATTTTCCTGTTATATTAAGAGCGTGTCATTTACTGAATTGCCCTTGAAATGATTTTTTTTCTTCTTGGAAAGGAAAGTTACTTTTTCATTTTCATTGCAAAGAAGGACCCTAAGCTACTGAGAATTTATTTTTCTTGTTGAAGCTTATTCCACTTATTTGGAGACCAATTTAGAAGAAAAATATAGGATATAACTGCTGAGCATAGGCTTTATCAGCTCCTCAGCAGCATTTCTCAGTAACCAAGAGGAAAGTGACCACCACGAAGGATTGGGAACCAAACGCCATGCCACCATGCCCAAACACCTAGTCAAGCTCAGATCACGAGCACTACCAAAAACAAATGCAGCTTATGTACAAGTAAACACATGCACTTTAAAAAGAAAGAGAGAGAGAAATTGCTAGAGGAAAGTGCATGCCATTCAATCCACTGAAATAAAAACAGAGGCTTAAGTTTTCCAGTGTGAGTGACATACAAGTGTCCTGCGGGCATGAGCGAAGCTCCAAGTTCAGCTGGCTGCCAGATTCTGGAAAACTTGGCCCTGTTTGCATGAAGGCAATGCCATGAAGCTTCTGTTTTAACCTCTCTTTAAAAGGGGCAATGGGCCAGCCTTTGGGATGAGCTGGATCCTTTCCCTCTTTCTGCTAAAAGCTCTTTTGTTACATTTCTGCACATCTAGTGTTGGAGATAAGGACACCAATAGCCACCCGAGATTGGTGGTCTTAAAGGGGGAACAAGACCTAGAGCCTCTGGGGTGGGGGGATCGGTTTTAGCATCTCATTGTGGAAAAGAGTGGCTGGTGGACCACACTCAAAGAGTAAACACCTTTTCCCTCCCTCTCAACACCCTGTGCCCTCAGACTGTTTACTACCTGGTCACTCCCTCAGCAGGTCAGAAGGCGTCTTCTTCAAGGCAGGTGGGACGTCCTCGCTCCCCTTCACCCACCTGGCTACCATGGGATTCTGCTTCTGCCTGAAAGAAAGAGGGACGCGTGGAGTTCACAGGTGTTTACAAAGAGACTGACCCAGTGAAACCGACCCTTAACTGTTCCCCCCAGGGCTAGAGCCCTAACATTCACCTTACAATCCCTGATCATCTGGCATGGTGCCCAGAATAGACCAAAGGCTCAAGGAATGTTTTAAGAATTAAATTGAAGCCCCAACGACTGTCCTCCCTATAGAATTCCCACCCTCTGGAGGGAGCTCAGTACTAAAACACCCTGGAAAGAGTGGGTTAACTCACCCCCCTTGAGGCCCACTATCAACTGACCAGCAAACAGGGAGGCAGGAAGGGGAAGTGCAGAGGAAGTAAACAGTGAGCATTGGAAGGGAAGAGTCTAGAATATTTTTACCGCCTGTGGAAATGCATTATTACTGTTGAGTCACAGAACATCAGAGCTGAAAATATCGTCAAACCCGAGGCATCTGACACACATTTTTCAAACAAACAGATAGATCTGGAGGTTGACTGGTCTGCATCACAAAGATGGTTCACGGCAGAAAGAAAAATGTCCAAAGTCTTTAAAAGCTAGACTGGAGTTCTTGTCAGTACACCACAAATGCCTCTTTAGCCTCCAAAGCTTAACATAATCTGTTCTAAATTCAAAAGGCTCTTTCGCCTCCTACTTTTCTGGAGTTCTTCTTCCTAAGATATATATCTGTAGATCTCTCCACATTTTTGTCTGTCTTATACCCAGGTGTATACATACCCTTCACACTTCCTTTCTGATCCACCAGTTACTGTAAATAGTTACAATAAGTACTCTCTGATCATGCCAATAATCCCCGTTATCAACCTGGATAGCCTCTCGCACACTTGATTCCCCCAGTGTGTTCGCAGTGTTTGGCAAACGATCTCTTATCCATTTGCATCTACATTTATTATCACTGTAATCATCATCTGTGAAGATCCAGCATCTCCTTCTTTGTACCCATCAATCTTACCTGTATGCTTTATCATTACCCTTCATCATATGCTCTGAATATACGGTATTGTATTCTGCAGCAGACTTTCTTCGTGAAGTCTACTTCATTGTTTATACACACTCATTTCATATAATTTTATGTCACTACCTTAGATTTTTTTTCTTTAGTGATTCTGCAATCTACCTGGCTTCATTTCTAAAATGTTAAGAAATAAGAGCAGCTTCCAAAAGCTAAGTTGGGAAACAGGATTGAAAGATACTCTCTAAATTCCCCTCTCCTAATCCCATGAATAAGCAATATTCCCTACAAACCATTATCGTTTTCTTTAGTCTCTGGAAATTGTATTTATTTCTCTGGTTTTGTTCCAGCCTGTGGGTTGGGATTGTAATCTTAGAACGGTGATATCTTTATTGAGGTGAAGTCCTTGAAACTACTGAATGGAGAGGTCAACATTCCTCTCCTACTTCAAGCCAATAACACACACATGGAATGAAGTCATTTTGCGTATGCTGTGGAGCATTTGTTTTCTGAAGATAAAAGAAAGAAAAACATATTTTTGAAGCAGAACTAAAGAGTAAGCACATTGAAAAAGGTATTTAGCTATATGAAGAACTACACATCCAGTCTTGGGGACAAAACAATGAGAATGGAAAAATGAAAGGGAGTTCCCATCATTTCCTCAGAGAGGACAAAATTCTGTCAAAGAAAGAGGGTTTTAGGAGAATGGATGATCAAAGAAATCAGCTGCACTGAGCCGGAACACCCTGTCCTATCTATAAATGACCAGAGAAATCAATCTATAAATGACCAGAAAGCCACTGACCAATTAGAAGAAATATGCATGCAAATAATAAGCATGAATAGAGTCAGAATAGAGTCAGAAGTTGTCCAATGTGGGAAAGATGCAGATAAATAATAACAATGACAATAATAAGATTCAGATAAGTTATAATCATCATCATCATCATCATAAATAGTTAACACTACCGCACTGTAATCATTGTTCTCATGCCTTCCATACATGAACTTAATTAACCCTCATACCAACTCCATGAGGCAAGTGCCATCATTATCCCCATGAGGAGGAAACAGGCACAAAGAGGTTAAGCAACTCACCCAAGTTCCCAACAGCTGCACAGTGCCCCTGTGAAGCTCCCATGCCTACCCTCTCTGCCCCCTTGACAAAGGTGCTCGAGTTTTAGCTGCATCAGAATCACCTGGAAGGGTCAGAGTTTCTGATATCAGTAGGTTTGGGACGGAGCCCAAGAATTTGCACATCTAACAGCTCGCAGATCTAACTACCACACTATGTCATCTAACTACCACACTATGATATACAGTTCAAATGATATCAATAGCTTTTCCCTTCTTGATGAAGACCCTTATCCCCTCATTTTCCCTGCACATTCTAAAATAACACTGTTGCACACAGGTACTGAAAACGTCTGGTTGTTCGTTTTCAGAAATGTCCTATCTCCACCATCCTCATAGATGAATGCCAACTACCTAGTGGGCCAATGATAAGTACTGATTTTTTAAAGCATTAAAGAATGATTTTTTCCCCCTCCTAGTTAGTACAACAGATTCCTTCTAAAACCTTAGTGCTCTGTTGAGTCAAATTTTGGGAGTTTTCAATTTGCCCATCATGATAAAAACTTCATTCTGTGTTCCCTGGTGGGCAGAAAAATAACTAAATTCCATCTACAGAAAAATAGCTAATAACAAAATAGGAGGCAGCAGAGTTCCTCAGCCAAAGCTCAAGTGAAGTTATTCCACGTACCTTCAAAGGGGGTGGGGAGGCATGAAATAATGAAATCCAAATCAAACTATAACTTTGGATTTCCAGATGAAAATTGCAATTTGAGGGTATCTGACTTTAAAGCTCTATCAAAACAGTTTCCTGTTTGTAGGAAAAGTTGCTTAAAAAGCTTCCTTGGACATCAAGTATTTCTAACAAAACAGTTTTTGCATGATCTCTTAGCTATGAATCCAAAATACCTGGATTAAATTTCACATTAAGGAACCATGGGTTTAACTAGTAAGTAGAAAAAGAAATGCTCGACAAGAATGTACTTGGGGTTCACTGAACTCAAAAGGTTTAAAAATAATTGAAAATAAAATCAGTGAGGCTTGGCTGTCCTTTCTTTGGATCCTGTGACTGTGGCCACACAAACACATGTGCTGGGACCTTTGGCTCTGGCCTCATGCCATACTCTTCCCTGCTCTTCAAAGTAGTCTATGACTCGCTTCAGTGGCTGGTCTGACTGTTCTTTATGAAGTCGTCAATTCCATCCATGTCAGCTGAGGACATGGTTGATTTTGTCAAGGTGACCTCAGAAATGGGCATGTCTACCGAAACAGAAGGTGGACAAAGCTGACTCTCAGCAGATTCCAGAGGGTGCCTCTATGGTTCTTATTTGTCGGGGAAATGACTTTTTCCTTCTGCAAACCCATTTTTCCCATCAGGCCATTGAGGACTGAGGATGGCTGGGAAGAATGACAGCTTCTGGGAAGCTGTAGAATTGGTCCTTCTTGTCCATAAGAATCTTAATGATCTGAAGGGGAAGCACCAGTGGAGATGATGGGAAATTTGCAACTGAGTTTCCTCTATCTTGCTCTGTGTTTTGAGGATAAGAAGTTGGATCCTAACTGGGCGCCTGGGTGGCTCAGATGGTTAAGCGTCTGCCTTCGGCTCGGGTCATGATCCCAGGGTCCTGGGATCGAGTCCCGCATCGGGCTCCCCGCGCGGGGAGCCTGCTTCTCCCTCTGACCCTCTCCCCTCTCATGCTGTTTCTCTCTC